GGTGAGGTGTTCCGGGCATGTCCACACGAGAGGAGGCCCCGAGGAAGACCCAGGACACGCTGGAGGGACTATGTCTCTCGGCTGGCCTGGGAACGCCTTGGAGTTCCCCCGGAGGAGCTGGAAGAAGTGGCTGGGGAAAGGGAGGTCTGGGCCTCCTTTCTGAAGCTGCTGCCCCCGCGACCCGACCCCGGATAGGCGGAAGAAAATGGATGGATGGATGGAGATGTACCTCAGTTCAAGGAATAAAGTTGTGGAACAATTTGGCGAGTGATTATAATAATGCTGGTTCAATGAAGTTATTTGGAACATTGGTTAAATTTTATTTGTTGAAGAAATATGAAAATACAAAATAGGTATTTCTACAAGTTGCTATTTGAGTAGTTGTAATCTTTTTTATTTTTTTTATTATATATATTTTTATTTTGTTTTGCTGACCATTAGGGTGTGAAATTGTTATTTACGTATGTATGGGTGTATGTATACAGTAAATATTCTTTTTAAAATGGGGCAGACACTATAAGATTTTTTCTTCTTTCTGCTCCCTTTCATTTAATAGTTTTGTGTTGTGTTAAAAATTGTTTTGTTTTTATTATTAAATGCTTTGGTTTTAATTAAATGAAATAAATTTAATAAAATAAAAAAGTGAAAAAATAAAGAGGACTGGGTTCATCCATAGCATTATCCATCAAGGTGTAAGAAAAATACGTGTTCAATCGACTGAAGTCAATATTAAAACCACCACTGTTAAATAAAAATGATTTGTAGAAGGAATCAAACCATACAAAACCAGAATTCTGGAACCGAGTGGGGTTTATTGCAACTGGAGATGACAGGAAACCACACTGGCCAAAAACCAGGAAATACATCAATTTATACATGATTCTTCAATGCCTGCGTTCGCCCCCTACTGACCTACGGCTGAATGACAGGCATTCAGACAAAATTCTCATCTAATGTTTTCATAACGTTTTAATCATGTGTTGTTATAATTCGGACATGTAACTAATCTATATCAATCAAAAATTAGTATAAAACATTATTATAGTTATGAAAGGAAAACCTAAAAATATAATGTTGTGCTTTTAAAATCAGTACTAACCTCTAATAACTATAAATTTCTTCAAAGGGATAGGTAACAATATTAGTATTCTTGTTAACTACCTTAATTGGCCCATGTCCATGTCCATGTCCCACCATGGGTACCCCACGTCTAGGTTGCACCAATGCAGAGCTTAAACACACAACAGAAAACACTGGGCTGGTTTGCTGATGACGTAGTATTGATGTCATGAAATAATGCAGCCCCATTTCCTTCTGTTGATTCAGTTGTAAGTGGGACATTTTAACACTCAGAGAGCGAGCTAAAATTGAAAAATGAATTAGTAACATTTTTGAACATTTCAGTTTACACTTGGAGTCCCATAGGAAGCTAATTAGTCCGCTAACAGTTTCCAAAGTTAGGGAAAATTCTAATCTCCCAAACAAAAGGTGAGCTTCACTATTAGTTGTTAGCATATTAGCAGAACTGTGACAAACACTGTGACTGTAGTTTGATTACCATTGTTCAGCTTAGAGTTTACATCAAATTGWATCATGTGGTCAAACTGAAATTCTTACATCAAAGCACCATGTTTATTAATCTGTTTTCTGTCATTTGTCTTTAACGCTAGCTTTCCAAGACTAGCTCCCAAACATCGTGAAGCTAACACGGCTGGAATTGACATTTTTGCCAAGTTTTCGGCTTACATCAAAAACCAGAGAAAAGACACCAACGATGGTAAGAAAGTTGCAAGGTACAAGAGATCTTTACAGAGATATGARCTAATTAAATACATTCACTGTTGGACCTTGGATCTTTAATCTTATCTTGTCAAAATCACAAGTTTCAAAGCATTTACTGGACTTGATGTGACAGAACAACACATGTGTATTCAGCCCTCCTGAGTGAATAATTTGTAGAACCACCTACAGCTGCAAGTTTTTTTTTTTTTACTGTCTGTACCAGCAGCTTAGACACAATTTGCCCTTTTCTTCTTTACAATATAGCTTACCGGTCAGATTGGACAAACATCTGTAAGTCTTGCCACAGATTTTTAGTTGGATTTAGGTCTGGACTTTGGGTGGAACTAAAACAATATTTTCGATATAGCTCATTTTATTGTAGATCTGGCTGGATWTTGTCTGGCTGGAATGTGAAACTTCACCTCAGTGTTAAGTCTTTTTCAGCTTCTTACATTTTATTCCCCAGGATTATTATGTCTTTAACTCCATCTATCTTCCCATTAATTGTGACCAGCTGCCCTGCTAACAAAAGGCATCTCTACAGCATGATGCTGCTGTAGTGAATTACCCTATGAAATTAGGACCAGCCTAACCTTCATAAAATAATCCAGCAAGATCTTGCAAAATGAAATC